TATATATATATATATATATATATATATATATATATACCTCGCACCTTAAACACTGACGACCACTGCGGAAGCAGCTAACTTCTCCCTGTTTCTGATACAGGGAAAACTTTTGGATTAAATTAAATTAAATTCCAGACCGAATGGAAGTTGTTTTCTTGCAACGGGTACACCGAAAAGCGAAACCATCGTGGCTTCGTGAAAACTCCTGCATGTTCATATTATGGCCACATGCACAGGTCCGTACTCTAGGCATTAAATACCGGTCCTGCATTTACTCAACACACGCTTCGCCTTGGATTTGGTGGAGCATACATGTTGCAACCGTCCGACATGTTTCAAGGTCACAAATTAAAACAAACGAGGCAAAAGTGCACTTTAATTCATAAAAATACACATCAAAGTGTATGATAAAAATATCACAAAAAATATGAAAAATATTCAAAATGCCCGGTTTTAGCATGAATCAAAAATAAGCAAACCAGGGAGGGGTGACGGATGGTAACGTGCACCGCGATATCCAGCTTAGTGTGTACAGGAGACAAATAGCAAGCCACTCAGCATTTATTTCTATTCTAACTCGTCAGGCGAGAGGAATATTTCCTTCGTTTGACAGCTGAAAAAAATTCACTAGAAAACTAGCTCAGAAGATCAGCTTTCAACGCATGCTGAATTACTCATTGGCCACCAGTGAGATAAACCCATTGCCAAATGGACGGGCGACGACGCGATTTGAATTTGATGGTAAAATCAATACATGCTCCGCTTTGTTAGGCGTTCTATAACGGCTTTATATCACGTGATCTCAGCTGCATTTTAAATTGAACCATCATTTTCCAAAAGAAAGCGTGAGGAAAAAGGGATAGATAACCGGGACTATCGTTCATATTGGTTGTGTGCAACTCTTCTTCGCTGCGATCGGATACAACCATCGTTTTACTTTGATATGATCGGTTTTTCTTTCTCGGTTTATGTCTTGATGGAGAAATTTCGTTTAATATATTATAAATTGAACATATGTTCACATCTAAGCACTTCCAAAAAACACCAACTGAATCATCGGATTTATGTACCTCGCGATTAAGTTGCCTCTAGGCTTCAATTATATGCCAAAAACGTTCGAACGTTTCATCCGGTTTGGGTATGGTGACAACAAAACGCTTATTCAACGAGCCGCACACCTCAAGGTCAACTTTTGAAGATCAACTTGTATGTTTCTTGGGCTATGTTTTTAGTTCTTCCAATATTGTAGGTAATGCCTAAACAGTTTGTAACCAGGTAATTTATCAATGCATTTAAATTAGAATGTTTTCGTTAATTTGATTATTTACTGCGCATTGAATGGAAGGGGACAAGCAATTTAAAATACATGGGCTCAACTTAATAAACACTGTCATGGAATAGGATTCATTTATTAAAGAGAATGAATTCCATGCTGCTTCGCTTAAAATATTTTCCCAAATCTGAGCTGTAATTTTCAAACTACTGCAAATGTTTATCGCAACGCTCAAGATTACGCTAATTCAAACGGTGATAAAAGAGAACCAAGATCATAAAAATGAGAGATAAAATCAGGACTAAATATACTTCACCCATAACCATCAATATGCAAGTATGATATTGGAGACTGAAATGTATTTCCGGGATGAGATTGATGTTGCAGGAGTTGGATCTATATACATACATATATATATATATATATATATATATATATGTATATATATGTCAACGCCAAAACAATAATAACGATAACAATCTAGGAGGAAACAGCAACTGCTCAAACAAATTGTGTATGGATTAACGATGCTCATGCATTGAACTATGCTTTTTTACCGTTTCGATCGACAGAACTTGATCATGGATCGAGTCTAGAATTTTCAAACTCTGTTGGTTCTATTTATCCAAAATGAAGTAGTAAAGTGACTCACCTAATGGTTCTGTACCCCGCGGTGTCTTTACCACAATGGAAAACTCCCTCCCCTTCGATCACCAATGCATACTACAACAAATTCGATCTCCTTACACTATATTTGGCTGCCTCGTATATCACACTAGGCTGCCCGGTTCGAAGGACTAAGGGGTTGGTCGTAGCAATGGTTACAGAGATGCTGAATAGTACGGTTAAATGTGGTGGACAGTAGCACTCGTAATTGTGTACAAAGTTGGAGTAACCGTATCATTCGACTTTACCTTGCCCCCAGCTTTCTAATTATCTCGCGTTGTCGTTCAAATACTAGTCAGTAGTCAGTGTATTATTATATATATTATATATTACTTGAGAATCTAGATGCCCAATGCTTTTCCCCATAGAGTTCTATCTACAGTCCATTCTCACTCATTTTCCTCCCCTTTTCACTTCTTTCACCCCACTCACCCACCTCCGAAAAAGGTTTTGGCCTGGTT